CTCTATTATGAAACTTTCAAGAAAATGGGGATTGACAGGAAGGAGGTGCAGCCCTGCCCAGAGCGGATCCAGGGTTTCAATGGCCAAACCATCGCCCCGGTTGGACAAGTCACGTTGCCCATCCGGTTTGGGGAAAAGGGGCAGCCCGCGAAGACGATCCTAGAGACATTCAAGATCGTGGACTGTCCGAGCGAATACAACGCCATCCTGGGCAGGACGGCACTCTACAAGCTGAAGGCCGCCGTCTCCATCTTCCACTACTCCCTCAAATTCCCGACCCCCGACGGGGAAGGGACCCATCGAGGGGACCAAAGGGAAGCGCGGGAATGCATCTTGACCATCCCGCGCACCGAAATAAACATGGCAAACCCACAGGAAGGTGCCGGGGTGGCAGACACCGAGTCGGCGCCCAACGGTGACGGGGGCAACCGCATGCTGGGAAACCAGACAGGTTCGCTCCCCCTAACCTCAACCGGTGCCGACCCGGCAGCCGCGGGGCCCGAAGCTGGGGCAGATAATTCGGCACCAAGCACCGAGATGGTGGACCCCGTCGAGGGCGGAGTCGAAGACGACCTCGACGGGGACAGGGGAAGAAGGGCCGGCAAAAGGCCGATCATGGAGGAGGACGAGCTCGACCCTCGGACACAATACGAGGAAAAGCGGGGAACGAAGAGGGCCGAGCCGATGGATGAAGTTGAGATCATCTTCATCGACGAAGAGACCTGTCAGAAACAACTCCGGATCGGGAGCAAGCTGCCGGAGCCAATGAAGGCCGAACTGACCGAGTTCCTCCGGAAAAACGCGGACGTCTTTGCATGGACCCACGAGGACATGGTCGGCATCGACCCGCAGGTCGCCTGCCATCGATTGCAGGTCGACCCCACAGTCAAACCGGTTGTGCAAAAGCGGAGGAAGCTCGGCCCCGACCGACAGCAAGCCCTGGAAGAGGAGGTGACCAGGCTCAGGGACAACGAGTACATACGCGAAGTTCGGTACCCGACCTGGGTGGCCAACCCGGTACTTGTGAAAAAAAGCAGCGGGGCATGGCGGTTATGCATCGATTTCTCCGACCTAAACAAGGCATGCCCCAAAGACAGCTATCCACTCCCTCACATCGACTACATGGTCGACGCCACGTCGGGTCACGAGCTGATGAGCTTCATGGACGCGTACTCCGGCTACAATCAAATTCCCATGCATCCGGACGACGAGGAGCATACCTCCTTCTACTCGGCACGTGGGCTTTACTGCTACACCATG